AGAGCTGATGGGGCTGCAGAGACACAGGGAACTGATGCATTGCTGGGAGTAGCATGTTTCTAGAGATTTCCAACAATACTGATTGTCTCAGGCTCCAGGAGCCAGTGGCAGAAAATCCAGCTCAAACTTGGGGTGACTGTTGGCTTACATACCTGGAAAGTCAGGAAGCAGACGGCTTTGGAAACTGCTGGATCTAGGGGTTCAAAAATATCTTCAAAACTTGCACATCCACTAAACTGTGCAGGAAAAAATAATTAATGGTAGTTTATGTTATGTGTATTTTACCACCATCGAAAAATTAAAGACCAGACACAGTGGCTCACGCCTATAATCCCAGCACCTTGGGAGGCAAAGGCAAACGCATCACTTGAACCCAGAAGTTCAAGACCCGCCAGAGCAACACAGGAAGATGCCCATCTCTACAAAAAATACAAAAATTAGCTGGGTGTGGTGGCACATGCCTGTGATCCCAGCTATGTGGGAAGCTGAGGTGGGAGGATCACCTGAGCCTGGGGAATTCGAGGCTGCAGTGAGGCATGCTCATGCCATTGCCCTCCAGCCTGGGGGACAGAGTGAGACTCTGTCTTAAAAGAAAAGAAAAGAAAAGAAAAGAAAAATGTAAAAGAAAACAAAGTAAAAAACGTGCACAATGCCATGTCCCACCTTAGGCCTTAGGTGGCTGCCTCCAACTGGAATGCAATCTCCTTACATCATTCAAGTTGCTCAAATGTCAACTCTTCAGAGGCCCCCTGAAGGCCAGGCCAAAATAGCCCCCCTCCATCAGCTACCCGATCTCACCCCTATGAGGTGTTTTCCTTCATTGCAGTTGTCACTTTCTGGAGCAATCCTACTTACTCACCTGTTTACATGTGTGCTTATTGGGTTTAGGGCCTACTCCCTGCTAAGATGTCAGCACCGTGAGAATAGGGACTTTGTCTTGTTCATGGCTGTTTCCCCGGGGCCAGGAATGGGCTTGGCACAGAATGGGGCTTATCACATAGAGGCAGGAAGAGTAAACGAAGGAAGGTTCTCTCTGCCTCCCTTGGTGCTCTCGTCTTGTGTTGGCACCATCTTCAGGGGTTCTCCCTACACAGTGGCAAATTGGCTGCAGGCAGCTGCGATGTTCTGGTCAATATTACATCAGCGACATTACATCATCAGTCCTGGGACGTCCTCACAGCTCCTAGCTTAAGGGGAAGAAAGAGCATTGCTCAGTGTTTCAAGGTTGCAAATCATTGGCTCTGACTCAGTCACGTGACATTCCCTGAACCAATCCCTGTAAAGCAGAGATGCAGTGCTCTGATTGGCCAGGCCTGATCCCCCAAGTCCATTGCTGGGCTAGAAATTCACGTCAGCCCCACTGAAGCTGCACATGGGCACGGACGGGGGCTCCTCAGGAGAAAATCAGTGAGCCAGTGGCTGGAGGATGGGGCACAGAAGTGGGGCAGGCGCATCTAGCTAAGGCCGCAAACGTCTCAGACACACCAGGTTTTGTAACAGGTTATGCCTGTGTCCCCCCAAATTCCTATGTCAAAGCCCTAACCCCCAATGTGATGGTTTTAAGATGGTCAAAAGTAACCTCTGCCCAGTGCGATGGCTCATGTCTGTAATCCCAGCACTTTGGGAGACTGAGGCAGGTGGATCATTTGAGGTCAGGAGTTCGAGACCAGCCTGACCAACATGGTGAAACCCCGTCTCTACTAAAATACAAAATTAGCCAGATGTACTGAGGCACACCTCTAATCCCAGCTACCCAGGAGGCTGAGGCAAGAGAATTGCTTGAAGACAGGAGGCAGGGTTGCAGTGAGCCAAAATCACGACACTGCATCCCAGCCTTGGCGACAGAGTGAGACTCCTAAAAAAAAAAAAAAAAAAAAGTAACCTGAGTCCCATGGTCACGAAGGTGGAGCCTCATGAATGGATTAGTGCCCTTATCAAAAGGACCTCAAAGAGCTCTCTCTTGCCCTCTTTCTGCCATGAGGACACAATGAAAAGTCAGCATCCAAAACCAGAAGAGTGGTCCTCACCAGAACCCCTGCTGGTGCCCTGATCTCAAACTCAGCCTCCAGAACCGTGAGAAACAAACCGTTATAGTTTATAAGCCACCTAGCTGATGGTGCTTTATTACAGCAGCCAGAAGGCCTAAGACAAGGCTCTGGAGAATCCAAGATAGATAAAACTTTAATAAACATTTGCTGAATGAGGACAACGCAATCTCTGACTGCTCCGAAGAGCAGGGAGACAAATCTGTGCTGTCACAGGATGTGTTTATGCTGAGGGAAGAGAGGGCTGTGGGGGCACTGTGTCCCTCCCCGTGAGCTGTGCCCAAGGCCAGGGACATGCCTGACCCAAGGATTCCACAGATTTACTCAAAAGGAGAATAAAGGATCATGCGCAAGGACAGTCGGTGCTGCCTTATTTGTAATAGAGAAAAACTGGAAACAACCCAAATGTTCCCCAGTAGGGGACTGGTTAACTAAATTATGAAACACCCACTTGATGAAATATTCTGGAGTGGTTAAAAATGATCATTATGAAAACTACAGAGCAAAAAGGGAAAAGGCGTCTGTTCTAACACACAGTGACAGCACAGAATGCCAAACTGTGACTGCGAGAGGCACAAACCACGCGCCTGGCTCTGTGCTTGGGATACAAGAGACTTGCGGGAGCCCTTCTGCCCCCAGGAAGCTCCTGGTGCAGTCAGGGCTGGAGAGACATGAAAACAAGGAACAACACGTGGGGTGAGGTCAAGGATGGAGGCAGAGAGACCAGGAGTGACTCAGGGTCCGGGAAGGCTGCGCTGGGACATGTCCTGTGAGCTAGATTTTATGGGAGTAACTACCAGGATTGGAGCTATGGGCACTTTAGGAAAAGGGCTTGAAGGCAATATACATGCAAAAATAAAAATAAAAATAGTTGTGCCAGGTAGAATTATGGATGGTTTCCCCATTTTTTCCAAAAAATTTTTCACGTTATATTGTTTTTACAATAAAACTAGTTGAAAACTAAGGTCAGATATGGGTGAATACCTTTCACTACCAACATTCATGTCTATAAATCATACATAAGTTCGTAAACACATTATTTTCTCGACAGAGCAGGGAAGTGAAGAAATATTTATTGGACATTTTGCAAAAAGTATATTTGTATTGTTTGCAAGTTGCCTGGTCCTGGACTCCGCAGCGAAGGGGTGAGGCACTTACATTTCTAGCAAGGATAACAGGCGTTTGTATGAAATAGGAAATGTTTTTAAAAATATTTAAATATTGTTCGGAGATGAGTGTGGTGGCTGAAGGCGTTCTACAGGTGTTGGAGCGTGGAGCTGGCTGAAACAGAGGAGGAGCAGAGATGGCAGGGCAGATGGAGAGATGGAACCCAGGGGGCTGGGTAAGCTGATGCTGTGATCCACAGGGTGGGCCTTTGCTACAGCTTGAAGTGTGCCCCCTCCAAAATGCATGTGGAAACGGAATCCCTACTGCGGGGATATTAAGAGTTGGGTGCTTTGGGGAGGGATTAGGTCATGAGGGTGCCACCCCATGAATGGATTTGAGGGAAATAGCTGAGGCTCTTTTTCCCTTCTGCCATGTGAGGACACAGTGTTCATCCCCTGTGGAGGTTGCAACAGCCCAGCAGCGTGGTGGAAGCAAAGACCAGGCCCTCGGCAGACTTGACTGTGGGCTTCCCCACCTCCAGAGCTGTGAGAAAGAAACTTCTGGTTAAGGGACAGAAGGTTAAGGGCCCAGGACTGCGAAGGGCAGGGGAGGGTCTGTCTGGAGAGGCAGAGCAGGGCAGAGGTCGTGAGAAGTTCGCAGGTGGGGAGACCTCCTTTGGGGAGGTTCCAGAAGCAGCTCCCAAAGGCACTGCCCTGACCCCAAGCCTGCCACTAGCCAGTTGTGTGAATCACTCAGGGCTCCTCGTTGATCATGGTCCAAATCCTTTGAAGAACCCAGCTGGTGGGAACAAGGCTGCCAGCACCCTGGCTGTGCCCATCTTCTCAGCTTGCATGCAGCATGGTCCCTGCAGCTACCCTGCCCCAAAGGTCCTCCCCGACTCCTGCTTCTTTGCTCACTAGCTCCTAATCAGATCTGGGGTGGGAGCATCTTTTTTTTTTTTTTTTTTGAGATGGAGTTTCACTCTTGTTGCCCAGGCTGGAGTGCAATGGCGTGATCTCAGCTCACGGCAACATCCATTTCCCAGGTTCAAGTGATTCTCCTACCTCAGCCTCCTGAGTAGCTGAGACTGTTACAGGTGCCCACCATCATGCCAGGCTAATTTTTGTATTTTTAGTAGAATGGGATTTCACCATTTTGGCCAGGCTAGCCTCTAACTCCTGACCTTGTAATCTACCCGCCTCAGCCTCTCAAAATGCTGGGATGAAAGGGGTGAGCCACCGCGCCTGGCCGGGGTGGGAGCGTCTTACTAGCTGGGCCTGGGCATAGACTCCCAGCCTAGCTGCTAGTAATGACAGGAAAGTATGTCTGTGGCACTGTCAGTTTCTACAGGGGTGGTGGGCTCAGCCTCATAAAGTGAGGATTGCCCCTACACAGGAGGGGGGTCAGATGTTCTGTGCCTGTTCATCTCTGTTGGAAGCCCTAACTCTTACCCCATCACCTCCTTTGTAAGCTGTGGAGGGTGAGATATGATGGCAGACAGGACATACATATCTAATTTCACTCCTGCCCAGCACCCACTAAAACTACAGCAAATGAATTTTTAAATTTTATTTTTATCTTTTAGCGACACGGTCTTGCTTTGTAATTCAGGCTGGCATTTAGAGGTGCAGTCATAGTTCCACAGTCTTCACCTCCTGGGCTCCACTGATCCTCCCACCTCAGCCTTCCAAGTAGCTGGGACTCCAGGAGTGTACCACCATGCCCCGCTGCTTGTTTTACTTTTTGTGGAGATGGAATTTCACTATGTCACCCAGACTGATCTCAAACTCCTGGCCTCAAGTGATCCTCCCACCTCAGCCTCCCAAAATGTTGGGATTACAGGCATGAACCACTGCATCTGGACAGCACATCATTTTTTAAAAGACATCAACTGGATAAGAAAGATATCAGGAGAAGATGACAGCAACACAATACTGGAAGCTGGGAACAGAGGGATGAGTGACACCTGACAGAGAGGGCTCAGTTAGACAGGACCTTAGGCTATTTGATTCTCTAGAAGAGATCCAAGTCTATTCACACCTCTGAGCCCTCAAAGCCTCAGGAACTTGCAGCTGCAGGAACACCTGGAAGTGGGGATGAATGGGAGTTAAACAAGAAAGAGTGGAGCAAAAGCTTTTGAAAACTTGCAGACTCTGGATCCCCTACGTCCCTCCAGGCTGTTAGATCACTACTCCCATCCTCTCCCCAACCCCTAGCAAAAGTCCAAGGTTTATGGACTGGACTGGGAGAGGCAAACCACAGCTAAGAGCTGCTGTACTAAAAATGGGGGCTACAGAGTCCTGGGACTCCGCTGCCCAGCTTCCTTCCCTTAATCAGTTCCAGAAGCCAATCAGCCACAGCTTTTCACCAGGAAGGAGATGGAATCTTTCCTAGGGATCCAGCCAGCCCAAATGCAAGACCTCAACTTACAAACACTGGTAGGTTCATCAAGTGACCCACCAAGACCTGGGAGCTTCCAATCTGCATTTTGGTACTTAATTATGATCTGATGAGTCACAGTTCAGAAGACAGCTGAGGAACAGCTCATCGTGGAATACAGGAAACGAAGCAGACAAAAGAAAAAAAAAAAGACCACACACAGTGATTCACGCCTGTAATCCGAACACTTTGGGAGGCCAAGGTGGGTGGATCACTTGAGGTCAGGAGTTCGAGACCAGCCCGGCTAACATGGTGAAACCCCATCTCTACTAAAAATACAAACATTAGCCGGGCATGGTGGTGGGCATCTGTAATCCCGGCTACTTGGGAGGCTAAGGCAGGAGAATCGCTTGAACCCAGGAAGTGGTGGCTTGCAGTGAGCCGAGATTGTGCCATTGCACTCCAGCCTGGGCAACAGAGCAAGACTCCATCTCAAATAAATAAATAAATAGAGAGAGAGAGAGACACAACAGTGTAAAAAAGAGACGGTGCAAGGTTATCAGGTTATCTCTGAAGAAAACCTTTACAAAGTATATTAACAACCTCAGAGAGATAAGAGATATTACATCCATGAAGTGCTAACAAAAGAAACAGTCGGAGGCAGAGTTAAAGGGGAATTCTTGGAAATTAAAAGTACAAAAGAATGATTTTTGAAAAAGAAGAAAAAACGAAAGGATGGATTAGAAGGCAAAAGGAAGGAAGCCTCCTAGAAAACAGAGCAAAAAGACAAAGCAAAGAAAAAGAAGAGATAAAAGGTAAGAACATCAAAAATCAGTTAAAGAGATTCAACATAGGAATAACAGGAGTCAAGGAAGAGAAAGCAGAGGGAAAGAATTCATAAAGGAAATAACTCAAGAACATTTCTCAGACATGAAGGACACCAGTTTTTGGATTAAAAAGATTCACAGTTGCTCACCACGGTGGTTGAAAACACCCACACGAAATTACATTGCTGCCGAACTTCAAAAGCCTAGGGACGAAAAGAAGCTTCTGCAAGTTTCTGGAGAAACTAGAAGACAAGAAGTAGTGCTTTCAAAATTCTGAAGGAAAATTATCTCCAAACTCAATTCTATACCCAGATAAACTATTTCTTAAATGAGAAGAGAGAAAGACTTCCTCAGGCCTCTTCCCTTCTTTCGCAGGAAGCTACTGGAGGCTGTGCTCCGTAACAAGGGAGCAAAGCCAGAAACAGATGACCATAGGCACAGGAAGCCCAGCCACAGGGAGAGAGCAGGAATCCGGGTGATGGTGACAAGCCATCCGGGCATCTACCGAGTCCCAGGCATAGACATTTGTGGCCAAGCACCAGCGCAGGGCTCCCTGTCTGTAAACCCCATCCCTCTGAAGTGGACAGAGGAAGTCGAAGGAGCCACCCTTCTACTGCCAAGTCCCAAAGTGAGGCTGAGCAAGGAGAAACAAAGTACTGCACATTCCTAACACAAATGGCTAGGCCGGGCGTGGTGGCTCACGCCTGTAATCCCAGCACTTTGGGAGGCCAAGGTAGGTGGATCACTTGAGATCAGGAGTTCAAAACCAGCCTCACCAACATGGTGAAACCCTGCCTCTACTAAAAATACAAAACTTAGCCAGGCGTGGTGGTGAGCGCTTATAATCCCAGCTACTTGGGAGGCTAAGGCATGAGAATAGCCTGCACCCGGGCAGCAGAGGTTGCAGTGAGCCAAGATCACACCACTGCACTCCAGCCTGGACGACAGAGCAAGACTGTCCCAATTCAAAGCAAACGAACAAAGAAAAAAGCGTGAATGGCTGCACTGAACCTAGGCCTCTGGCAAGAGCCTTCTCATACTGGCCCCCACAGACCACTGTTGGGGAGGAAACACAAATGAAGGATTCTCTTCCATCTGCACCTGCATGTGGGCAGCCTCTCTGGCTGTGCCACTGAGCTTTGGGCAAAAGTGACAGTCTTCCCCTTCGTGTAGAGCACAAACACAGGACACAAGAGCAAATTCCGGAGTGTTCTGGGTGCTCTGGAAAACAGGTAATGGGGCTGAGAGTGACTGTGGTGGGGGTGTGGGGCAGACCCTCTAGGAAGGGGTGTGTAAGCCGGGGCCTACGTGACGAGATGAGTGAGTTGTGCAAATGTCTTGGGGCAATGTATTGGAGGCAGGGGGCAGCAAGTGCAAAGGCCCTGGGCTGTGGGGAATAAGCAACACATGTTGAGTGGAGAGGGAGGAGGAGATGAGTCAGGAGGGGGTGGGGCATGGCTTGGATCAATTACGGCTGTGGGGCCATGGTGAAGGGTCTGGGGCTGCAGGCAACAGGAGAGTGTTAAGCAGGGGCAAGCCTTGATCTTACTTACATGGTGTCACCATTAATGTCCTGGGATCAAGATGTCTGATTGCCTTCCGACACTCCTTTCTCCCTCGTGTCTCACTATAGTCCTGGACAAAGGGCTCAGCTTAAAGAAAACAAAAAGAAAACAAAACAAAAACCACCCTACATTTCCCGCCTCTCTTGCAGCTAGGTATGGTCAGTGCATTCAATTCTGGCCATTGGGATGTAAGCAAATGTGTGTGGGACTTCTGGGCAGACTCCTTGAGAAGCAGGAGCTAGACCCTCTTTGCTCCTCCACTTTTCCCCTTCCAGTCTGACATCATGATTGGAGGCCCAGCCGTCTTTCTGGGACACAAGGAGACCTTAGGATAGAGGCCACGCGCTAGGTAGGGGCAACAGATAAATAGAAGGAACCTGGGTCTCTGATGCCCACACTGGTCTATATGGCCAACCTCCCAGGCTTGTGTGTGAGAAGAGGTACCCTTTGGAGGAGAGGCCACCCTTCAGCTCACCTTGACCACTGAGTCATCTCCAGGGTGGCTGAGGTCTTGCATCAGACCCTTGGAATCATTGGTAGTTTATGGGTGTTGGCCTCTTGTCTGCCAGTTCCTCCGTGCACAGGCAGGCTGTAGGCACCTCAAAGAGGGCTGCTACCCTTGGAATCTCAGAGTGTGAAAGAGAAGAAGCCTTTGCTGGACTCCCGGGAAAGAGCACCCACTTCCTTGCTGAGGGAGGGGATTCCAGAGTCTTCTCTTTCCTGTGTCATGGGAAGAGGCAGTTGCAATGAGTGAAATGACAAGGGGTTTTCTATGTTTAAATTTTTACATTCTACCCCTTACTTGGCAACTGGAACCCCCAGGCTATGTTTTTTGCACACATAGAATTCCAAGTCCAGAGTTGAAACTTGAGAGCTGAGGCTTCACCAGAATCTCTGGGGTGGGGGGAGGGGGATCAGCTCATTAAAAATTCAGGTTCCCAGGCCCCTCCCAGAATCCACAGTACAGCAGAGCTTCCTGCTTTCCCTCCCACAGCCTTCCCCTCTTCCGGGCTGGTCAGTCCTGGCTCAGGGATGGCTCAGGCTCCACATCAGACCTCCTCCTGCTCTTCTCTAAGCCACCTCCCACAGCCATTCATCACCAGAGGCTGCCCCTCACCTGCCCCCCTGGTCCAAACCCCCTCCTCTCTCACTTCAGCCTCCTAAGTTTTCTGTCACCTCCTCCCCAGTCTCTCCATTCCATAGGAGCATCCTGGGTGGTATTTTCTCATGTAAGTCAGATCACAGAACTCCTGGGCTGAAGCTTCCAGTGACTTTCTGGCTATAGTGGAAGGAAATCCAGACTCTTTTCCAGGGCCGCACACTTCCCCCCACTCCCGTGCTCCGCCTGCTTCTGTCACTTCCCCCAAAACTCCAAGGCTGCCCCCGACTCCCGGCCTTTGCCTCTGCTGTTTCTTAGCTGACCTGCTAGGCCAGGTATCCTCAGCAGCCCAGGCCCCAGCTCGCCACCTCCCTCTCCTGCCCCAGGTCCCCGCTCCACTGGCTGCGCCGCCGCTGGTGCTGACCACACGCTGTCTTTCTCATTTATTTATCTGCTGGCCTGCCCATCATCCTCTTCCTTCTCCACCGGAACATGAGCAGGGACCTCCGAGGACATGCCCACCAGACCCCCAGGGCACGGAGGAATGAACACCTGGCACATAGTAAGTGCTTCAGAAACAATGTTGAATGGACGGACAAACGTGTGCAATGCTTGCCTCGCCCCTCACTGTCCCCTTTGGCCACAGTCCACACGCAGCTCTCCCGATGCTCTATCAGGCCCTGCCCCCAACACTTCACTGAGGGGAGGGGGGGCCTGTATGTAGAGGTTTCCTCCCTTCTTTAGCTCCAGGCGCTAGGCTGGCACCTGCCTCCCCACTTCCTTCCTAAGGGTGCAGCTCCGGGCGTTCTCAGTCGCTCCGTCTGTAGACAGGATCCAAAGGCCCGAATAGTAACACGCCACTCGGAGCTGCTGCCTGGTGGGGGTCGTTCCACTCTTTCTATTCAGAAGATGTTTTCCCAGGCTCCTCCTGGTGTTAAATCATTCCTCCAAATTAGCAGGAACACTCATTACCAACCCAACCACCTCCATTAGGCAGGAAATGTGTCTTTCTCCCAGTGGCAACTCCCCCCAGACCCAAGGCCACTCCCAGTGCTCCCTGGATGAGGGTGGGTGGGAAACTGGCTGGAAGCAGGGGGTGGAGCAGGTGCCACTCCTAACCGGCAGGAAGCACGGAGTCCTGCCAGGGTGGCTGATGGTCGCAGTGGCTTCCGGCTCCTCTTCTGCGCCCTTATCCCTGGGTCCCCCCAGACCCCTTCTCAAAGGGCACACAAGCGCCCTCACTTGTGGGCCCTGCCTCTCTAGTCCTGCCTCTGTACACAGGCCTGTGTGATGGGTTTTAAGGAAGGCAATGAGGGCAGGGGCATTTGTAAAGCAGCGAGAGATCAGACATCCCTCACTTATGAGAATTCTCTTGAGAGTTCAGTCCTTTCCACTGTGGGAGGCCGAGGCTACAGGGTCACTGAGTCCAGGAGTCTGAGATCAGCTTGGGCAACAGGGGAAGACGCCATCTCTACAAAAAATACAAAAATAAAAAGGAATTCTGTCTTTCCACATTCCAAAGTTTGGATGTGAGCTTTGAAAGCAGCTGTGGATGCCCCCAGTCCTCAGGCCCCTAGGGGTCCCCGCTGTCCTGCCGAGGGCCTGGAAGCTGTCCTGAACTGGGTCTCCCAACAGGTGTGTTGGAGGACTCCAGCTCACTGCGGTTTTCTAACGAGTTACTCACCAGACTGTCTTCCGGGAACAGAAAGTGATTAAAAACCAGGCTTGAAATGGCTCATCCTACACAATGGGTATAATAAATATTGGATAACAACAACAACGACAGTAACAATTTTACCTGCATCTCCCAGGTTATCTAAGGAAGTGTCAGCAGTACAGTTACAGACTGGAGAAAAATGCAACATTTGGCTGCTTTAAAATAGCCTCCTTTGGCTCATTAGTGCGGTGTGTGCCCTAGGGCGGGGGGCAGCAGTTATTCAGCTCTGGAATTTCCATCTCGAAGCAGCTCCACACATCATGCTGAGTTCTCCTAAGCACGAGGGAGCCCTTGAGGTCCCCGCCTGGGGAAACCTCCTTCTAATCTGTGGGAGGGTATGTCTAATTGTTCGTTTATCCAATCAGTATTTGTTGAGCTCCTACTGTGTGCCAGGCTGTGAATACTCAACGGAAACAACTCAGGGTCAGCCCTGGCAGAGTTTCATCTGCTCTGGTGGAAATGGCACACAAACAAAACCCGAAGCAACCCTGGGAACTTGTTAGAAATGCAGATTCCCAGGCCCCACCCAGACCTGCTAGCTGAGGAGCTGTTCTGCTGCCCAGCCGTCTGGATGTCCCAAGTCCTCCCGAGGAATCTGATGGCTACTTTAATGGTGCAGGAGCTGGGACATGAATGATAGGGAGTGGTGAGCCTTGACAGGCCTGAGGGGAGTGTTCTGCACAGAGGGCACAGCTGGGCACAGTCCTATGCCAGGCAGAGGGCCCGTCTGAGGCAGAGCCGAGAGATGGGCTCAGTGAGCTGCAGCCCGGAGCAGTGTGGGTGACACTGGGGCAGCTGGCTGGGGCTTCTCAGACCTTGCAAAGACATTTGGATATGGCTGTTCAGAGGCGCCGCTGCTCTCACCTGCCCGCTGCCCTCACCTGCCCGCTGCTCTCACCTGCCCGCTGCTCTCACCTGCCCGCTGCTCTCATCTGCCTGCTGGTGTGGCCTACTGTGGCATAGAAACTTCAGACCTCACCTTCGCCTTCTTTCTGAGGAGAGGGCAGGGATTGGCTGTAACTCCTGCCCCACGTCTCAAGAGTTTTCGGATTCCATCCTGTACCCAGCTGGGTTCACTGGTCACTTCTCTCCCCCTGCCTAGGAGAGTGGGAGAAGGATGGAGGAGAGGCTCTGCTTTTCCTAGAAACACAGAAAGGGGTGTGGAGGGGACAAAGGTGGTAGGACACTAGGGAAAGGCTGGGCCAGCCCAGAAAAAACAAGCCATGGTGTCGGGATGCGGGAGGGGCAGGAGCCTGGGAGTAAGTAAGGAGACTCATTCTCCTGGTGCCCATGGAGAGACTGGACAGGCCCTGGAACCACCGTTAGGCTGTCTGGCCGCTGGAGGCTGGTGTGAGCCCTTGTCACTCCCTCCATCCTGCTGCCATGGTGAGGCGCAGAGCAGTGCAGTGCGGCCACTGCTAAATCCATCCCAAGCCACCTCAGAGGCCACTCAAGCGATGTGCAGCCCCAGTAGACAGACACATGAGTCCCAGGGACCCCACTGGGACAGCTGTTCTGCAAGTCAGCTCATAAGCCCACCCCACGGGCACTGCCTCAGAGAGCAGGTCAACCCCACCTTGCAGAAGTCTCCTGCCCTGCTTTAATTCCAGCAGCTCTGGCTGGGGGCATAGACAAGCCAGCCTGCCAAGCAGAGGTCCCTGCCCAGAAGGTAGGCCACAAAATGCAAGGAGGGCTTGATGACCTCAGAAATTGGGAACTGGTCAGGCGCCGTGGCTCACATGTATAATCCCGGCACTTTGGGAGGCCAAGGCAGGAGGATCACTTGAGCCCAGGAGTTTGAGACCAGCCTGGGCAATGTAGCGAGACCTGTCTCAAAACAAGAAAAAAGAAAAGAAAAAATCTGAAATAGCATGTTGTGAGCTCTGTGAGGCCACTCTTTCACTCTTCCCATTTTCAAAGTCTTTCTTGAGTACCCACCATCCACTGGGAACTGTTCTGGGCCCTGAGGATCTCCCATCTGTGAATAAGACAAGACAGGTCCCCGCTTCCCTGGAACTTCCCGTTCTAATGGGATGAGATAATAACATCAGGCTAGTAAACAGGAAAATGACAGTGAGGATGACAGTGAGGATGCCAGGCCGTAGGGTGATGTTTCTGGGGGCGGAGGGCTACTAGGCAAGGCCCCGGAGGACCTGACGTTTTCCCTGAGACATGGATGTTGAGAGGAGCAGGGGGAGACTTGCAGGAAGAGCATCCCCAGCAGAGGGAACAGTGAGTGGGAAGACCCTGACAGCAGCGGGCCCATTACCTCCTGCAAGGAAACCAGGCCTCAGAAGAGGTGACACAGTCACTGTCTCTTTTTCCCTGGAACAAGCTCAACTACTCACCTGCATGAGGTTTCTCCTGGTACCAAGGAACAGTCAGAAAAGAGATCAAATCAAATAGAACCAGCCTGGCATTTTCACGCTGTCTGCAGGCCCCTGGAGCTCACATCTGGGGGGCAGGGGAGGGAGTACCAGCAGAGAGGTGAAGCAGGGGCTATGGAACACATCCGCCAGACATGGTGAGGGTCCCAGCTCTATCGCTCACCAGCTGTGTGGCCTGGGCGATTGCTTCCCATCTCTGGGCCTGCATTTCCTCACCTCTATCTTGCTTTTTTTGTTGTTGTTTTTTTGAGACAGAGTCTTGCTCTGTCCCCGAGCCTGCAGGGCAGTGGTGCCATCATGGCTCACTACAACCTCTGCCTGCCAGGCTCAAGCGATCCTCCTACTTCAGCCTCTTGGGTAGCTGGGACCACAGGCATGCACCACTGCCCCCAGCTAATTTTTGTATTTTGTGTAGAGACAGGGTCTTGCTATGTTGCCCAGGCTGGTCTCGAACTCCTGGGGTCAAGCGATCCTCCTGCCTCGGCCTCCCAAATTTCTGGGATTACAGGCATGAGCCACTCGCCTGGTCTCTATCTTGTTTAAGTATAATTCCTGAAAATGGTGTTTGTGAAGCAGCTGGTGGAGGTAGCTCCTCCATCTGCAGTGGCTGTGATTGCGGCACCCAATTTCAAGCCAAGCTTTGCGTTGTCCTGCAGGATTTATTACGCACCTTCTGACCACGGGAACAGAAGAGGACGGGATGCTCATGCGTGAGCTCTGCACACGGCGGAAGAGGCATCTGTGGAGAGCAAGGCAGAGCATGCGGTGCTGGCAGAGTCAGAGAGGACAGGGTCACTGCGGGCTGTGGTCTCTGTCTGCCCAGCTTATGGGACTTCTCTTCTTGAAACAGAATCTATCCATCAGGAAGTCTCCCCTCCTCCCTTAGTTCCTGTGGATCAGGTGGGCACCTCATCCACCAGGGTCAGGGAGACACTCAGGACCAGGCCTGGCCTTTCAGCCCTATGGGCCTGGCCACTCCATGGTGATTGGTCAGGGTGGGCCGACGAGCATCACCCTGGGGCCTTCGCAGAACCCCGGGCAAAGGTTTCTCTTCCCACAGGGGCTGAGAAACTATAGGGTGGGCATCCCTCCCCTCCTTGGGGAGGGCCTTCTGAGAATGAAGTCACATAGAGGCCAGAAGAACCCAGAGATGGAGAGAGACCAAGCCCTTATGACGCTCTTGGAATCCCTGCAACCACCCAGGCCCAGTCCAGCAGCATCATCTCCACACTTTAAAGTTATGCCAGACAGTTCTCTTTCGGCTTATGCCAATTTTAATTGGGTTTCTGTCACTTGCGACCGAAGATTCCTGACTGATTCAGAGGATTTCGTTAGGTGAGATAGAGCTTGAGCTTCCAAGAAGGATCTGAATCGATGATTAGGGAGAGACAAGAATGTGTATTAATAGTAAGAAATAAACTGAGCGTTGGTGTGGATGTGTGTTTGTTGCTGCCCCAACATCCATTTCCTCCCCTTCCCCTTCCTCATAGAATCTGAAATTTCCAAGCCATGCATTTTGGGTAGAATTGACCCCAAATGCAGCTTTGGGGTGGCCCAGTTTAGCTTAGATGATAGCATTTTCCATCCCCATGTCCAGGTGGAGATGACTGAATCATGGGGGCAGTTTCCCCAGTCTGTTCTCCTGGTAGTGAGTGAGTTCTCATGATATCTGATGGTTTTTTTATAAGAGGCTTTTCCCTTTTTTGCTTGGCATTTCTCCTTGCCGCCACCATGTGAGGAAGGAGGTGTTTGCTTCCCCATCCACCATGATTGTAAGTTTCCTGAAGCCCCCAGCCACGCTGAACTGTGAGTCCATTAAACTTCTTTCCCCTATAAATTACCCAATCTCAGGTATGTCTTTATTAGCAGCCTGAGAATGGACTAATACGCTCCCATTGCACAGTGATAGGTGTGCATAAATAAAGCAGTGCATGGCCTAACATCCTTATAATCAGGGCCAATGAGACTCCATTCTGGGGCTTTAATTCAATCCTGGGAATCTTTCCCTTTAAACACAAATAAGAAAGTGGCCTTGGAAGCTTCTGGTAGCCATCTTGCAACCATGAGGAGAGAGCCTGCTAAGAATGGAGCCTGTACTCGGCAGATTCAGTAAATGGAAGGACTGGGTCACATCGTTGGAGTCCTGGATCAGACCACACCTGAAGGAGGAGGATCTACCCTGAAACTATTCAACTACATGAGCCAGTAAAGTTCTTTAGATTTAGAAAGTTTGGCTTAGTTTTCTGTCATGTGTAGAAAAGAATCCTGTCTGCTTCAAATGAGACTCAAGTTGAGGCTCCAATTTCCTGACATCCCACCCCACAGTGGCCTACGCCAGCACCAATCCTCCGTTGTCCTAGTCTGTACCTTGCAGCCTCTAGAAAAGTATTTTGTTTTTGTCAAACTCTAAGGCCACCAGAATGCAGGGAGCTGCTCTAGGGCCTTGGAACTGAGACTCCTGGAGGGTCCAGGGATCAATGGAAGTTCATCTGCTATGTGGGCTAGAGTGATCTCAGAGCCCCAGACACCCTGGAGGAGGCAATAACTCACCCTGGGTCCTCTGCCCCTCCCCCAGCCCATCCTGGGCAAGGACAGCCATCAATCCCACTTATCAGTCCTCTTATTTC